TACACTGGTGGTTTGGGTGAGGCTATAGGGGTTGGAGGAGGCCTCATAAAGGGCCCCACGGTGGTGTGGGGGCCCTAGCGCCAGTCAGGGCGCAGTATCCTCATAAAGGGGGGAACCCCAGTGGTATGGGAACCCCGGCACCAGTGAGGGTGCAGCGCCAGTGAGGGTGCAGTGTTCTCAAGGGGGAACCCCGGTGCCAGTGAGGGCGCAACTTCCGGGGTACGTAGACCCCAGCCCCAGAGAAGGGCAGCTTTGAGAAGCCCCAGCGCGAGCACGACGAGCCCCAGAGAGGGGGCCATATTATTAGGAAGCCCAGTGCGGGCGCGGTGAGCCTCTGAAACAGGGCTAGTGCTGCGGAAAACCCCAGAGCAGGGTGGAGTGCTGCGGTGGCCCCCGGTGAGAGGGGGTAGTGGTGCGGTGAGCCCTGGGAGAAGGGGGTAGCAGCGCGGTGGGCCCGAGAGTCAGGGGGCGTTGCCGAGAAGTCCCCAGAGTGGGCACGGAGAGCCCCAGACTGGGGGGCTGTATTTTAGAAGCCCGAGTACGGGCGACATTACAGGGAAAGCCCCAGGAGGGGGCACTATTGCAAAGGCCCCAGACAGGGGGCGACACTACAGAGAAGGCCTCAGAGAGGGGCAACGTTACAGGGAGGCCCCAAGTGGGCTCGGAGTGCCCAAGAGAGGGCAGCCCAGAAGAGGAGGCCACAGAGAGCAGGGCGAGAGTACACAGAGGAGGCCCGAGAGACGGGCCGTGTACATATAGAGAGACATACTAGCGTCTATCCCATCAGCGAGGCTTGGGGCGTGGTATTAGGGGTTGGTAGGAGCCACGCGTAGCCCATAAGGCTAGGGTGCCTGGGGAGCACCCATCATACCGGGAGACCCCCAGGGGGTCCAGGAACACACGGGGACAGAGGTCCCAGCTAACCGTGCCCAGGGAGTCGTAAGGCAGCCTCCCAACTTTATTTAACCATCAAAAACATGGCGGGCGAGAATTTGAGGGTGCCCTTGGGCCGACTTGGCATGGTGAGGGGGCCGTAAGGAGATCACGGCCCTCCTGAAGGTCCCCGCCGTGACACAGTCCTACAGAAAATCTTGATCTATAACTTTTAAGCTAAACTTTCTCAATTTGTCTCCTAACTATCAGTAGCACCCTTTTCATAAAAATATCTCATTTCAACATTTTTCCTACCATACCTGTCCTTTAAAAACTAAAAAAACAGTCTATTTATAAACCTTGTTACAACATGTAAAGGAATCTTTTGAGATTGTCTCCTCAAGTCAATTACCAATGGTAATCTATCATTCGCCTTTTTGTTGAAGATGAAGAGTATTTATTAAATACAGCAAGATGATGCTAAATCTGCTTTCCTGTATAATGTTGTGATGTTCATGGGGGATGGACAAGAACTTTAAGAGTGAGGCTACAGCTTTGTTAAACACTTCTTTCCAGTTCAACTACAGCCATTCAAAACATATAGATTCAATTAAATTTCAGTGAGTAACATAAGAAGTACTTTCCAAAGATAGTCAACATGACAAGTAAATAGGTATTTGAAACTGTCCCAGGGGGACAGTCACTGGAAAATGGGGGACCCCTCCCACAGTGGGACTCGGGACAGGGACAGCCTGCCCCTGCACAAAAAGCCCTGAAACCAGGGCAAACTTTCCTGTTACAGGAGGAGAGAAGGCGGACGAGCCGTGCTGGCACAAAACAGCTGCACAGTTTGTGAGCTGCGCTTATTTCCGACTTGAGCCAGCACAGGCAGGTGACATCATCCCAGGACGCCGCCTGGACAAGATAAAAGCCAGCACCGGGGGAGGCGACAGGGAAGCACCGCAGGAGGCACACAGTGAGGGTGCTTCACGTGCCGGGCATGTGCAACGCCAGCGTACAGAATGGGACAGGGTGCCAGAGCATCAGGAGGGGTTCTCAGCAGAGGAGAGGACCTTGGATGACATCAGGGGATGACAAGGACTGTAAAACAACATCCTTGAGTGGGAGACTGGTCAGGACCCTACCCCGGACTGCTATTGAAATTTTTTTGTTGTTTTTTTCTTTTTCCTTTCTGACAGGGACCAGTCCCGAGAAGCCCTGAGGTAAGCGCAGGGGCATAGGTGACACACCCATTGTCTCCCTCCCCACAAGAGAAGTGGGAAGAGACAACATCAGAGGACAAGCCGTGTTGACACCAAGGGGCTATCCTAGAGGCTGGCACTTGGTTGGGGTGTAGGGGAGGTGGAGCCTCATGGATACCCTCTAAGGGTTGCGGCCAATCTGTCATCCCCACCCCCTCTGGCACCAACAAACAATGCTGCTCCCTCTCACCTCTGTGTTCCGGGTGCGCCTGGCCCACGTCCTCCTGCCTCCACGCTCAACTCCCTCCCTCCCAGCTGTTGGCAGTGCCTGGCAGCGGTGGGGCGCTGTCACCAGGCCCCCTCTCAGCGGAGAAGGGACAGGTGGGCTCCAATCCACCTGCCCCACTTTCCAGTGCCAGCTGGGCAACCCCCAGAGTGAGCTTCCTCCACTCCCTTTCTCCCCTCCTATTCTGAAAACAACAATGGGGCTGGGAGGGAGGAGGGGTGTTACTAAGGGAGAGTGGCTGCAGGCTCACAGCCGCTCGAAACACCAACTCGATTCCCCAACACCTGGAACACAACAGCAAATGTCTGTTGGATCTGAGGGATCATTGTAATTCATGGTGCTTCGCACGAGCTGCTCTTCTGTCTGTATCTTGAGTTAAGACCCCCCACTATCATAGGCAAACATGTCTTCCAGTCCTATTCAAGCATCATCTTATATAGTTTGATTTTTGTCCCCCATTCTTACTGAGAAGCTTTTTTCAGAAGCTCATTCCTGTCCCTGATGGTTATAGACTTTCTTCTAATATCCAGCCTAAATTTATACATGGCCAGTTTATACCAATTTTTCTTGTGCCATTAATACTTCCATACCTTTACTGGAAATACCCAATCTGATTTTTTTTCATGTTCGCATCCCACTGATAGCTCAGAGGCATCTTGTGATTGACTGATACATCCAAGGTTTTTCTCCCCCATCAGTCACCTCAAACTGATGAACAACATTTATTGTCATCTGTCCCTATGTGCATAGCCTTGGGGTGTAACGAGTTTCTCCCACTTCTAGGTCTACAGTCCTCAAGGTCAACTAATCCTTTTTATATAATATTCCAATCCTTCTTTCTATTGACTACTATTTTGTCATTAGCAAATTTCCTTAGCACACTTCTAAATTCTGTGCCAAAGCCATTAAATAAGACCAGTGCCAAGATTTATCTTTGAAAAATTTCACAAGGATCTTCCCTCTGGCTCAATAGTTCTTTCAGCACAACACATTGTTTTGTTGCCTCTACTTAAGCTAGTTCATTACCCATCTTCTCTATCAATTTTCTCCATCTGGCATCACAACAAATGCTTTTTTGATACCAAGATTAATTAGATCTTATTTTTACTTGCCTTATAAATGTATTATCTTATCAGACAAATAACTGGCTAGTCTGACATGGTCCACATTTGGTAAATTCACAATGCATTTCAGTCCATTTTCCATTTTTTTCTATATCTTTAATTACTCTTTCCTTTAAAATTTGTTGCAAAGCTTTGCATACTACTGAGGTCACAGTAATGGTTGTGCTGTTCCATGGAGGATTTTTTTTCCTATTTTTTAAATACAGGTATCATCTTTGCTGCTGTCCCATTACTCAGGAGCACTGCAGTGTGGATAACCTATTAGGCATTTTGTTATAGGACTTGCACTTTCATGTGTCACATTTTTCGTGTTCTAGGATGCAGATACTGCCACTGACTTCAGAAAATGAATATTTTACACCATCACTTTTCTGTAAGGACTGCAAACTTTGTGGCTCAGCAACAAATAGATTAGAGAGGTTCTACTGTGTCCATTTAATACCTGCCCATCTTCCGGACCTCTTAGTGAATCCTGTCTTCTATGGTTTTCTTTAAGACACTTGTGCAAAAACATGCATAGGAATGACTTCAGTGAATTCAGAAAAACACGATTAAATGTAGGCAGGACCAAGGCCTTAACTGTAAATTGTCTGGAGCCAGGCAGCCTTAATTTGTGTCTAGCACCAATGGTTTCATCCACCTTTTACAAAACAAATAAAACAAAAAAACTAAACAATACTAAAACAAAGGAGCAGACAACTAAACATTTTCTTCAGCCACACACAACTTGTGGATATTTTTACTCTTTTATCTAGTAAGCATCAAAATAAAATACATTTCGAAACATTTTACAAACCAAAGATTTCTAAAGCAACTATAACGTCAGATAGTCCTACAAATTCTTTCTCCACCTTCATATGTATTCCAGAATACGTTTTAGTGATGTAAACAAAGAATAAAAAAATACAGTTGTAATGTCCATTAATAGCAGAAATATCTACATGCAAAATATATTCCTTGAACCAATCTTTAAATAAAGTACATGGTGGTAACTTTTTTTTTTTGAGAAATGTATTTATTTTATATATAAGAATCCTGAAGAGCGATGTTGTATCAAATTGTCATTTATATTTCTGTATGCTATACTACAATCACAATACTTCTTGTAAAATCTCTTTAAAGGCTTACTTTAAAAATCTTGTAAATTAGATCTCTTGAGGAAACTATGATTTGATCAGGGCACATATATTTGCAAAACATGTGTGCTCTGAAGTATATAATTCATTAATTTGGCCGGGAGCAAGGAATGAGTGGGGAGAGTCTGAAATGAGAACATTAAGGTCCTATACATGTGCAGAAAGGTGCTCCGATGCACTGTATTTACAGTATGTCAGAGCAGACTCAATTAATCAAGTCTGCTGGAACACGGTAATTACCACACACCAGCAGACTCCAGCGTCATGTGTATCAGCATCCCCGCACTGAAAAACAGCATCATGAGCATGTATCACCATCCCCATGCCGCCATTTTTCAGCATGGGGATGCTGATACACGTGACACTTAGGGTACTTTAATCAGAGAGGATTTCAGAGCCGTTCTAGTTAAAAGCACCCCCCTCCCACCGAGCAAGTCTATAAACACGCCCCTAGTGTCCACATCCTCCCTTACTACAGAAACGTTTGGAAAATGGAGGAGCCCCTTGAAATATCTTTCCAGATACACTTCCCAAAACACACTATGGAAACTCAACAGAACAGCAAAAAACAATTTCACAGAAACATATGCTTTATTGGAAGCTTGGAACTCCATTCTAGGGTTCCCAGAGTAGGCCTATGATGCTCGAGACACGAGTCCTCTTTCCTCCTACCAGGCCTTATCACATACTATGATTCCTGGCTCTCCTACTCTATCCATGTATTGCAATAGCCTGGATAATTATTTTTAAATTAGGAAGGAGTGATGTTGAAGAATAAAAAGTAAACAAAAACAACCAAGAACAAAGCAAAAGGGAAAAAAAGGCAAATCAGAGGTAGAAAACAAGAGGAAAAACAGAAATGGAAGCAGATGAAGAGACAAGGGCTCTAACGGTGGGTTTAATGGTCAAAAGCAGGGTTTGACAAATGCATATACCTATGACGAGTGGGGAGAAAGAGTTACTCCTTGTTGCTTTCTGCATAATTTCACTTCTCCTTCTGAAAATAACTACCCCTCCTCTGGCCTCTTCTGTAACACAGATAACCTTTCGTATGTGAAATGAGCATCACTGGAGCTGTAATAGTTTTCCCAGTATGCACAAAGACTATTCTACTACTACGTAGCAATTGCTGTGCTCCAGTAGCCTCCTGTATCCCATGCGTCAGGGTCCTCATGCTTAAAAATGGCAGTGGGGGTGCTTGAACTAAAGATCATCGAGCAAACTTTAATTCAAGCACCCCCACCACCACAGAGCCGCTCTAATTAAATCAACGCCCCCACCCACCAGTCCCCAAAAATATAAGTATTCTGGGGAGGTTTGGGCTTGGCTGCCAGTTCTGTTAAGGTGATCCAGGAAACCCAGCTATCATTATAAAGCATAGGGCAGCTTGGATGCCTTTTAAAGCAGGGTTATCAGTGGATTCTCTGGACACCTCAGAGGACTATGGGAAAAGGCTCAAGGGATTTCTTTGGAGTGTTGCTTTAATTGACCTATTTTATATAGAAGCATTTACACTGGGTTAAGCCTAAAAAAAACCTAATTTTAAAAATCCTAATTTTTTGGACCTGGTGGTTGAGAAGGACTTCTAAAGTGACTAAGCTGCATGTGGTGCAGGAGGAGCTATGGCTTCAGTCACTAACGTATTTCTGCTTGGCAACTTCACCAGCTGGTTTTTGGGTACATCTGTCAAGCCTTGTCTAAAAAGCCTGTACACTTTGGGCAGCTGTGCATAACCTGATATTTTGGAAAGGTAACAGCAATGCTGGACACCATACTGAGGGGAAGGCCAAAGCACAGCACAGCTCCTGTCCCTTTGGTTTTCACAGGAAAACATTCTTCCTATGGCCATGTGGGTCTGCATTGCTGGGACACAGCATGCATCACACTGTATGGGCCAGAAAAACTACTAGCACAACCTTGCATGTGACTGCAGAACTAACCCTTTAGCCACCCACACTGTATGTATTGTTCCTTGAATACAAGGAGAACTTTGTTGGGTTTTATTCTTTGAAGACAAGCAGGATTTACCCTTTTTCATTATTGCAGTTGGTAAGACTTTTATATATACAACTTAATTCCTATATGTCAACATTTCCCACCAAGCAAAGCACATCTACCACTACACCGAAGGGATAAAAAGTCTTCTTCTGTGGAAAGACAGTCCTCTTAATTGCTATCCTGAGTCCCATCCTTCATTTAAATAAATGCATCTATAGTTGCCAAAACCTTGAAAGTGTCCCAATTAACCAACTGAGTTATGTCTATCTGACTGTGCCGAGACCCTGAAACAACAGTTCTGAGGCATGAACTGCTCATTCTTTTCAATGACAGCTAATTCCAATTCAATGTCAATACTGTATTTTAAATGTCAACACTTTTAACTATGTCACTATTCATCACATGTAGTAAAGGAAAACAAGTACAATCATACTGTGAAGTTCAATACTATTTATGCAGAGAGACAAGTAATTTGGGAGAGGACAAAATGATGCAGGATCATGATGTGTAACTGAACTTATTTTTCTGAGAGGTTAGCTTTCAAAAGTCTGGGGCACTCCACTATATTTTCCTAGAAAGTGTCCCTCAAATCTGTTATGCAGGGGTTGAAGCATCAGGAAAGGTTACAAGAGACTTTCAGCAAGAATTAAGCAGCAGCATAAGGAAGAGGTAGAGGGTAACCAGGACATCAGCCCCGTGATCTGGGGGATGGGGAGGGGAAACCAAAAATAACAGCAGTTGCACTGCCCAAAGTGGCCTACCTTGCAACCACTAACACTGACCCGTGCACAGCTGCAGCCCAGGGCACTGAAGCACCCAGTGATGCCTATGCAATGGAGTCACACAATTGGACACAGAACAAGGTTATATGCCTCTGACACAAAAATGCACGAAGCAGAACAATATTTAAATTGACATTACACAAACTGCTAGAAGAGTACCATCCCCAATTTACAGATGGGTAAGCTAACACACAGGGAGATGACGTGACCTACCCAACTTCACAAGGCAAAGTACTGACACAATATGAAACTCAAGTTTTTCAACATTTAGTCCTGTGAGATGAGAAGTGGAAAGTGCTTCCTGTCCAACTTGTAAAAAATGTATTGTTAGATCGGAGCTGCCCTCCTGAGTTTCTGTAGTCCCCCTTACTAGTCTGTAAGACAGGCAGGAGAATGAAGCTTAGAGAGACCTGAGGAGGAACACCAGAGAACAAGAATCACAAGTTTCCAGGGATCCACAGTCTTCAACAGTATCTTGAGTCCCCCCTCACCAGCTATAAGTAACACAGCCACTGTAGTTTCCTGTAACCTGCTGCCACTGTAGTTTCCTCAAAGATCAAAAGCACCAAGCATGCACAAGGAAGAGAGGAAGGCCAATCAAGCAGCATTTAATTTTGCACAACCCTAGCTGCAGTTCTTCCTCTTAAACAAATCCTCTGCACAGTCTCATTTCCTTTTTTCACATGAATAATGGGCTGCAGAGGTTTTTTGCAGAGAAAACTGAAACAATTATACATATGTACCCTCCTCCATTGTAGGTTTCCTCCCTGTACACACTAACAAGTTTTCTAGGATCTACTTGGCAATGAGGAATGCTCAGGGATGCATCAGGGAAGAACGTTCCTTGATCCTTTGAATGAAAGAAGCTTGTCAGACAATGTTTTACTGCAAGCAGCATTGGTCATAAGATTATTCCAATATTTCAGCTTTCATACTAAATAAAGTTTTTGAAGGACAAAGAGGCTAATTCTGTTCCCCTTGAAATATGAAGAGTTTGCCTCTAAATTCAATGGTACAGACCCTATTCTTTGACAGTCAAACCAAATGTTTCCCTCAACAACTCTAACAGAGTAGAAACTTTGGATCACTGACAACACACTCTACTTTCTCAAGTACTCCTCTCTCCTTATGTGGTACAGACCATTACCAGAAGCGAAGTACAAGAGATCACAGAAGTAACTAAACAGAGATGAAATTTAAAGATAAGAAAAGCCAAAGATTAAATAAACTGTTTAAACATCTTCTTTATCAATTACACATGACTTTCAGGGATTATTTTCTCCTGATGGGCAGTTATATAGTTATGTTCAATTCTTATTACATATTACTATGAAATAAAAATAAAAACCAAACAAATTCTTCCTTTCATAGAATCCTAGAAAATTAGGGCTGAAAGGCACCTCAAGAGATCATCTAGTCCAACCCCCTGCCCAAAGCAGGACCATCCCCAATGATATCATCTCACCCAAGGCTTTGTCTAGCAGGGTCTCAAAAAAACCCCAAACCCTCCAAAGATGAAGATTCCACCACCTCTCTGGGTAACCTGTTCCAGTGCTTTGCTACCCTCCTAGTGATAAAGTTCTTCCTAATATCTAACCTAACTGCATCCTGAGTCCATCCTCTTCGGAACCACCCTTCAGGTGGTGGAAGGCTGCTATTAAATCCCCTCTCAGTCTTCTCTTCTCCAGACTAAGCAAGCCCAGTTCCCTCAGCATCTTCTCAGAAGTCACATGCCCTAGTCCCCTAACCATTTCCATTGCCCTTCACTGTATTCTCCCCAATATGTCAACACCCTTTCTCTAGTGGGGGCTCAAAACGGGACACTATAGAAATCTGCTTTTCTGAATTCCAGGGTCCATACTCTGCTGCTCTTCTTCCTTCCTTTCCTCAGGATCCAGAATTCAATCATCTCGTGATCACAGCTGCCCAAGTTGCCATCCACTACTACATTTCACCACCAATTATTCCCTGTTTTTGAGCAGCTGGTCAAGGGCATGGTCCCTATCTGGCCCCTCTAACACTTGCACCAGGAAATTGTCACCCCAACACTCTCCAAAAACTTCCTGGATTGTCTGCGCGCTGCTGTATTGCCCGTCCAGCAGATGTCAAGGTGACTGAAGGCCCCTGTGATAGCCAGGGCCTGCAATCCAGAAATTTCCACCAGCTGTTTGAAGAAAGTGTCATATACTTCATTCTCCTGGTCTGGTGGTCTCTAGCAGACATGCACCATGACGTCACCCTTGGTGCTCTCCCTTCTGACCCAAACCCAGAGACTTTCAACAGGCCTATCTCCAGTTTCATACTGGAGCTCTGATCAATCATACAGCTCTTTTACATAAAAAGCAACTCCTCTTTCTCTTTCATCTTTGGTAAATGCATCATATGAATCCAGACAACACATTTCTATAATATCATACTATTTTGGCTCAACAGCTTGAGACATTCGTTCATGGCCAAAAAGCTTAGCTCACATACTGTGATAATAGTGCTACTGCCAGAAAGATCTTTAAAATTAAGAAAGGGAAATATTAAGAAATAATTTCTACCATTTTAAGGATATAAAAAACTAATCTGTCAGACTAGACCACGGATGGCTCTTTGTTACTTTTCCTTAAGCAATTATTTTGGATTCAGGATAAATTGACTTAAGACACAGTATTTCTATAAATCTGTAGACTGTCCAGGAAAAAATGAACGAGTCTAGTCTGCAAGAACTATTGAAGAAAACATCAGCAAAGAATGTTTTTGAGAAGTCTTCACAGTAAAATGCCCTCACACCTTCATTTCAATAAAAGGGATTAACCATATTATGTAAGTAACCCACATAGGTTTGAACTCTTGAAATTATACTCTTGAGATTTTTACTCAAACATTTAAACACACACATGATATTAGCCAAGCAAATCTTAGGGGTTTTGGCATTTAATATTTTGTTTCAATAAAAAAGTATGTTGGGGGAAATGAAGAATAAAATTCTCTCTTATATACACTGGGTCAAATCCATCTTTTTTCACTCAGAAATATCTTTCATAATAGTGTTAAGCTTCATAGATATATATCAATTTAAAACATACCCTGTAAAGAAGGTTCTCTTATATCTATGATTTCAGTTATCAAAAGAGACATCATTTTTAAAAGTTTGTCTTTATTTTCTCACCATTCAACTTAGAAAGAGAAAGACAATGTCAGTTTCACTATTATGTGCTGTTTTGCAATGTCTAGTTTCAGACACTACAGTGGTATTTATTGCAGGAGATTTCTTAAAAACATTTCTATTAGTTTCACAAGTGGTCATTGTTGCATGTGCCAGTTTGGGACAACATTTAAATTAACAATGACTAACACTGTAGGATTCTGTACTTATTATCAGATAGCAATTTCAGCTTCAAAATTTGCTCAAACAAATAAAAAGATTTTTTTTTTAGCTGACAGACTTGCGAGTTGATCATATGATGTGAAAAGTCAAGCTGTGTTCTTCTTGACTACACTGTGTATCATTACCATAATACAAAACCATTCCATCTGCTTAATGCTATGGTCTTCAAATGGAGTTCAACAGCATTCTAACAGCAAGGTCAAATTCTGTCCCGTTAATGACACCCTCAATTATATCTGTTCATTTTATTTGACCCAGTTGGCCTCTACTCCCTCCTTAGTGTAGTCATTTACACCTGTGAAAAGCAGCAGTAAAAATCTAATCTGATAGCCCTTAGCAGTGCATAGATAAAACAAGTGTATCAATGAAAACTGAGCCAAAATAGAATCCTGCTCATTCATATAAATCCAGATATGTAAGGTCAGCAGCCTGTAAAATCCTTCCACCAGCCTAGAATTTGTCTCTGAGGAATTCAAGCATGCCAAACACTTCAATGATAAATGTACACTGGCGACTAAGATTATCAAATGCAGTTCATTCCCAACCTATGCTTAACTTAACCTACTCCTAAAATGTGACATGCTAGTATACTAACATACCTTGCCACCTACATTTTCCCTGAACTTGAAACACTCAAAGTGGTACATGTTCTAAGACATTACTTCAAACATTTATTTTACTTCACTGATATTTAAACAGTATATTTAAACAGATTCATCTTTAAAATTACCTGTAGTATATGCCAAAGCAAGTAAGTTAAAGTACATGTATTAATGTCTACTTCACTTGTGCATGTGGATAGACTAACTGGTGTGAAGAACCTAGCCTATATAAATTATTAATTCAGACAGATAAGAGTAATGGTGTAATAATAGTGGGTCCAAATTGCTCTTTAACAACACATTGTATTTCATTCCAGTTTCACTACAGTAGCTCTAATTCTTCACAGACGTTCTTTAAAATAAGAATCATTGTTCAGAATGCAGAGTCCATATGTTTTTTTCAGATCAGAAATAAGCATGAAGGTCACCAAATGTCTATCGTCTACATATCACCATGTAAACATAGCTTGTAGTCACATAAATCTGAATGCACGTTTCAGTTCCAAAGCTTCAAAACCCAGGATCTCATTCTCAATTTCTGTTAGCTTAATCAACCATAAATCAGGCTAGGAAATGAGACAAGGTCATCAGAGCTCAGCTCTCTGTAAGTCATTTGAAATTATGCTCACTTGCCAGCTCTAACAAAAATATGCATCTAAAAGACCTCAGCAATCTTTTCAAAACCAGATGCAGCTGTCAAAACCTTCCCTGAACAAAATACAATTTTAAAAGGAATCAAAGATATATAGGAGGAGTGTAGTTTACCTTAATTGGAGCACAGCTAAACTGAATTTTTCTGTTTGCTGGAATTTCATCTTCATCTGGCAATCCATTGATTTCCGCATATTCCATATCAGGTTCATAATAGTTATTTTCATCGCTGTCATCCTGATCATCCTGTTCTGTTCCTGTCTCTCCCCAGTCAGAATTATACCTCGATCGGACCCTATAGACATTATAGTCAGAGTGCATATATACATGTGAACTCTGAAAGTTATTCAAATCTTCCTGCACTTCCTTTCCACTTGCATCATCATAGTGGGACTCAGAAGATGCACCTGTTGCTAAATCATCACCTGCTGTTAAGCTTCTTGACATTTCTACAGCCTCAGCTCCATCAGGGGCACTCTCCCCACTTTCTGAAAGCTCTTTTGGTTGTAAAGAAATTGCCAAATCTGTTTTTGCCTTATTCCTTGTACAGAGCTCTTCAGACTTTTCACCGTCAATTGTATCGACTGACTCTTGCTTATTTGCTGCATGGTTATCAACAGAATCTGAACTTGTTTCCTTATTCTGTTTTATTTCTTCATTAGTTTTTGAAAGCGGCAAACTGCTTACAGATTCTTCTCTTATTGTTGATGATGTACTGTTTTGCTGAGAGTTTTCAACAACTACTGAACTTGTACTTTGTTTGGCCGATGATGACCAAGTAGTAGTTTCTTTTGTGGGACTGAATCCCTCAAGGTTTCCAACAGTAGGGGATAGATTTGTGACGGCAGAAGGTAGGTTTAGTGGATAGTGACCAGTTACAGAGTATTCTTCATTATTTTCTGACTTTTCCAAAATGATTACATTATGCGAGTCGGTGTTTTCAAACACTGCACTGAGCTGGCTCACTGTTGGAGAAACAGCCTCTGTCCGTGAACTAAGACTGTCCAATGAATCGGTACTGCCCCTATTAGACTTTGAGCTGCACAACTCATCTGGGAGTTCATTAGAAACTCCCTTCTCTTTCTTTGGGGAGTAGCGATTGGAATGTCCCATTTCATGAGCATTTCGCTCAAACATCTTTCGAGTTTCAGTAAATTTGGAATAGGAAGGACCATCATGCATAGTATCAAATCTACTGATCCGTTCTGAAACCGAAGACTCCAGTTTTACAATTGAACCATCTGTTTTCTCCACAAATTCTTTGGGTCTAATCCTTCTTTGAGGAGATGTGGGTCCACCTTTCCCCCTACTTTTAGGGGCAACTCCACTGCTGTCATTGGGCTCCATACCCATCTGCATAAATAAGTTTTTAATCCTGTTGACATTGGAGCCATATTTCCTGCCCCGGCTCTGCTGAGAGGCCTCTCCTTCATCTTTCGTTTTTTGGTCTCCATCTGATTTCGGTTTGTCGAAGGTGCTTTTCAGTGCCTGGAACTCAGTTCTGTAAGCATTCCTGTGAGGAGAGGCACTTCGGAGGGTTGATCGCTCCCCTGAAGACTCTGTTTTCATCATGTTTACTTCAGGAGTGAAAAGCCAATGTACATAATGACTGATGTACGCTGCTCCCCAATTTCTATGACTACTGAAATTCTGGTGGAGAAGCAAGTGGTTGCCTCTCAGGCGGCTCTTGTCTGCTACAGAGACATATCCAGCAGCTGATCTGGCAGACACTTTCTAAGCATATGCAAGTAATTGTAACACCAGACAAGTGGCAAGGCCAAGGACTTCCAAAAACAAAGGCAGGCTTAACCTGCAATAGAAAGGAGGATTGGATCAAGGTGGGCATAAGTACTCTTCAAGTCTAATCAGTTCGAAGAAAGGAGGCGTCTATTTAAAAACAGAAATTGTGTGACAAATGCAGGGAGCAGCCTTCAGGCAGCCTCACTACCAAGCACTACACATGCCTGTGAAGAGGGGCAAACAGCGAAGGGAACGTGCCACAATTGGCGGGTTTAAAAAAAGTTGGTCGGCTCACAGAAAACCAAGCAGCTGCCCCGATGCTAGGTATTAACCTGCCCCTTCCAAAGCCGCAGGGCTGGCAGTCCACGCTTGCCACAGGCACCAGCCCCCCCAGCCCTGCACCCTGGCACAGATGAGACATTCAAAATCAGGGCAAGAAAGGCAGGGAGCAGGCGAGTGCCGGCGGCATTCCCTCGCGGTCAGCGCTGGGCAAAGGGTAGCGGGAAGCAGAGCTCGCCCCTGCGAGGGGCGCGGGCGCCGCAGGCCGGCGGCACCGCCCGAGCCCGCGCCGCTCCTT